ACTTTTGACGCGCCATTTCTTGAAAGAAATCTTATTTCTCAAAAGATTATTACATTTTGAATTTTAGTCTTTCCGCCATATTCTAGACTTGATTTTGTATGTATATCTAATTTGAGATAATTTCGTTATGTGTCGATTTAGCTAGATCGAAAATAAAAAAGTTCCCAAACTTTTGACCGCTACTGTACACTAAAATCAAAAGGAGCGTTGTGCGGCACGCTGAGCACACAACATTCAGGTTTCCAAGTTTGGCGAGAATCTCAACTGTACAGGGGCAGCACCCTATCCATCCCCTAAAGGGGACGCGTCGCCCGCAGCTGATTCTATCCTACGGTTGGGGGAGACAGGGTTGCGTCATAGGACCCGCCATTGAACGCGTGATGTTGTAGCTACCCTCCCCTGTTGAGGCACTCTTTTCTCTAAGGGGTCGCGCTGTCTGCAGTCTACAAACGCCGAGTATGGCTAGTCCTACGACGTACCCTGTCTGGGTCGCGTCCCCCTGGGGAAGATAGGATACGGCCCCAGGGCAATGCAGCGTTCTGTCCCGATACCACATGACCAATGCGGACTATGTTTTGCATGTGAAGAAAAAATACCCTCGACTTTACATCCAATTACCGATACAACAAAAACTCACATAAATCATTTATTTTGAATACCCTAATTTGGAAGTCCCGCCAAAGGTGGCTATTTACACAATATACATTAAGAGAAAGAAATCGGGAATAGAAAAAAGATCACATCAAGGACCCATTATAACAAAACAACTCCGTGGCTGGTGATAGTTAAACACGCTACACAGTTGTACTAGCAAAAGAAAAGAGTAAAATACACTGAGCAAAACAATCTCAATCATTCAACGAAAAAAAATCATAGCTGCGCTATCGGAACTATTCTATTTTTTACAAAAAAAGCTAGAATTCTACAAACCCAAGAAATAATTTTTCATATGCTACATAAGAGAAGTACCGCTCAGCAGCACACCTTTCCACAACAACGATCATGAAAACTTGTCGTGCACTGTTATAAACCTCAAGCTGACCCATCCAGCAAAGCAGCTTCGCTTTTTATACGCCGTCTTGTACCTGGTGTACGATTACCCATCAACATACGCGTTTCAACGCCGGCCATATAATCCGAATCCAGAATTTCATCACACGTTGGACGTTTTTCCGGATCCATGCTGGTCAACCAAACGATGAAATCGACCTGGAACTTTTCTCATGGCTACCACTTGGGAAATGCAAACATTTCGAGTAACGATAATGTGCATTCAAGCCTGTGAGTTTTCATTCAGTAGTAAAAACTGATCACAGAATGGAGATTGGTTGCATTCACTCGTTCCTGTGAATAGAGCACCCCAATGAAGAAGCACATTCTACTAGGGGTGTGACGTAAGGTTCAATGTTTCGTCCCTAGGGCGTACATTTATCTAGAACGACTTCACACATATGAACTCATGGATGGGCTTTTGTAAGAAAAAGAGACATTACTTAGGAGGATAATTGACATTGTGCGGCGAGAAGCAGGATCTGATGCCCGTACACGCAGCCGGCCGAACTGTAGCTACCGGGGGATAAGGAGATGTTCCCAGTTAATTAGGAATCCGTCAGGACAGAATAAGGGAACGAACAAACTCTTGGGCTTACTTATTCAACAAACTCTCCGCACAACAACGAGAAAACTTAATTCGAGAAAACGATTGCCGCATTTTGACTCGTTTTTCTTTGTGCCGCATTTTGACTCGTTTTTCTTTGTTAGCTGCTGTTTTTGGCCGCAGCTTGCCGCATTTTTGGACGCGAAATATAAAATTCGCTGCTGATGTCGAGAAGAAGCCTCCCCATTACGCCTCTCATCTTTTGAATACTATAATAATAATGAAAAGAACAACTTTTAGACTCACCTCTTCTTCCTTCATTCCTTTCAGCGCATCTGGCATGCGGCCATGTTGCAGATCGCTGAGAGTGAGGCTACGTTCCATAAGCGTTTGAAAAGGAATCACAAGTTCACAATAGATCAGTCCCATAGAGAATACGTCCACTTTGAATGTGTATGGCTTATTAGCCAACTAAAACATGTAGTTATGCAGTAGATGCCAAAAAAACGATCAATATCAATCCAACCACACCTGCTCAGGGCTCATGTACCCTCTTGTGCCTACGTTATCAGTATGGAGGGCTGACTGAGAAACATTCTTTTCAATTGGTTGGTCCTCAGCCGGCACACATCTGGTAACCAGTCCCAAGTCGCCTACTTTTAACGCTTGGTCAGAAGCGAAGAATATGTTCTGTGGCTGGAAAACACAATTGATATAATTGATTCTCTCGATATTACAAGTTCAGTGCCTTGAAAAAATCGAACTAGCCATGTTGGTTAACAATTAACATAATATTCTATAAAAAAGACATATGCGCAAAATGAGGAGCTGCACATTTTTTCAAGTATAACCGCAGCAGACAAAGTTCGAATTATATAAGAATAGCATTTTTCACGTAAAAACACGCGAATTTTAGAGCACAAAACGAATTAAAACCAATAAAAGAAAACAGCATAAAAAATTCACCTTGATATCGCGATGAATGAGGCCTTGTTGATGGATATAGCTCACTGCACTGCACAACTGAGCCATCCACACTTTCATTTTATCCAAGGGCCGATCCTCCCACGACCGATGCTTAGACAACCAAGCATGAAGTGTCTGCTCTTGACATAACTGAAGACCCAACATGAGATAGACAATCAGAAATCTTAAACCTCCTCTCTGCATTCAGAATTGCGCATCTATCAATGAGCATTTCCACTAGCCAACAATATGTGATGCAACTGATTATAAAAAGTCAACAACACTGGTCTTCAGACGTAATTGTAATATGAAAAATCTTCTGAATTGTGAATTACAGAGGGGCTTCGCAAGGATGCAAAGCAATGAATCACCTGCATCTGGATATAGATATAGACAAAATTGCTGGTATTTGCACTTGGCATCAGATCTTCATCGGTAGACGTTACCAGCACCATCTATAAAACAGCATAATCAGACTCACGGGATTTTGAATTAAAAGCAATGAAAATTAGAAGTTTATCAAAATTCTAGAGCATAGACGGAATCATGTGGTCATGAACGTGCAAAGGAGGAAATCATTAGGCAGTAAACTACGCTACACACCTTTTTGCCAATTTTCGAAAGCTCATCGGAGTTTTTAGCGGCCAGCTCGTTGCAATCACCAGCTTCCTCAGCTCCGAATATGATGCTTTCGGACTCTTCTGCAGCCACATTATTGTCACCTTAACAATAATTCAAATGAACTTAGTGATAAATATCCGCCGAAAAATGATTCTCGAAAGAAAACCAGATATTCAACTTATACGCATGAACACATCTCATTCAAGAAAGTGAGCGTGAGCGAACAAATACTTCGCAGCTAACCTCTCGCAACCTGATCTTCGCTGTCTGATGAGGACTCATCCATTTCCGCCTTACTTTCGGTAACATCGTCAAGCCATGAGCCGTCGTCACTATGCCCGTTGAGGGCTGGAGCCACGATATCACTGAAATCAGCAGCGTATCAGATGGAAAACCGTTTTTTCAAATCATAAATTTTGAAATTACTTCATTTGTTCGTCGCTAATTGGGAATCTCTATTGAAGGCATCAAAAGCACTTACTTCAACGATGGGTGAAGGCTGCTTTCTGACACAGGATGAGGAACAATCGCTGATGACGAAGAGCTTTCAATGGGCATCGACTCGTCCTCCTCCACCTTGCGTTTGAAGCGCAACTGCATGCCCTTCAGCATGAGACAGTCTTCCTCTTCCTTAATGTGATAGCTTTGAGCAATCCTCTTGAGATACAAACAATCATCCAGATCAAAAAAAATCACCTGCCAACCATCAGGAGGCCTTTCGATCCATGTGTGGTAATAGCGGATTATACCAGGATGGTCTAATTTTGCCATAGCCCGCACTTCACGCAAAACTCGCTGGATGGCGCGCTCGCTGAATAAGTTGTCAAATGAGACAATGCTAACATTCAGGCACTACTCTATTTGAGAAAAATGAAAACAAATAAATAAAGTGCAAAAATCTGCGATTACTACTCACTTATTCGCAACCGCTATTCGTTTCACGGCATAAGGACATTCATCAAGGCGGTTTCTTGCCTCGAAAACCACACCAAAGCCTCCGTGCCCAAGCAACTTTACTGGCTCAAAGTCTTGAAGAAACCTGGAACACGTGACACAAGCTTTTTGATGGACAAAAACTACAAAAACCATGCTGTTGGACTTTAGATTCACTAACTTGCTATGGAAAGGTTCACAGCCGCTTTCACGACTAGAAGTTGTCCTGCGCTGCCGAGTGACTTGATCAGCTGGAGATGGAGCAATTGACAAAGTTGAAGTGCCGACTGATGGTCCGGCCGATGTCGAACGAGTTTCCGCTCTCTTCGTCTAAAGGTGAATACTGAATTCGAACACAAAAAGTTTCCAGATTAGCCAAGTGAACATTACAACAACAGTTCTGGTTCATGCCTGCAAGACCAGTAACGGATGTCGTGTCAGAAAAGCGCAGACTCAGCTAACTAGCTTTCTTCGACTCCGAGAAAGAGTTCGACCGGTCTACCTGCGAGCAGTACTATGGAGAGCGCTTCAGAGAACGGAACGTGCCAGAACACCTGGTCTCGCTGGTGAAGGATATGTACGACGGGGCTAAGGCAGCCATACGCACCCCACATGGCCTAACGAAAGAGGTGGACATCACGGTTGGGGTGCACCAAGGGTCAGCTCTGAGCCCGTTCCTCTTCCTCCTAACACTAGATGTCCATGGTGAAGGGGCTCATGGAAGGACCACTAAAGACCATCCTCTACGCTGACGACATCGCCCTGATAGCGGATAGCAGAGAAGAACTTCGGGCCAAAGGTGCAGAAATGGCAAGAAGTGCTGGCAGAAAGTGGGCTCCAGACTGTCAAAAAACCAAGTTGCTGAGCTCCTATGAAGATACAAAACCGATGATGACGATCATGGAGAAACCATCGAAAGAGTGGAGGATTTCCGAGGAGCGATCTGGCAGCCGACGGTAGTGTGGATCAGGCAGTGAAGGCTCGAGTCAACGCTGCATGGATGAAATGGAGGGAGTCCACTGGAATCCTCTGCGATCGAAGGTGCTCCAGAACGCTCAAAGGAAAGGTGTACCGGACAGTGGTAAGGCCTGCGATGCTACGGCAGCGAGTGCTGGCCCCTGAACAAGAATCACGAAAGGCAGCTTCACTCCGCTGAGATGAGGATGCTGAGATGGGCCTGCGGCTGGACGCGACTGGACAGGGTCAGAAACGAGGATGTCAGAGCGGTCATGCAGACTGCCCCTGTCCAGCTGAAGGTGCGGGAACAGCGTCTGCGATGGTATGGGCACGTGCTAAGGAGGACACAGACCCGATAAGGAAAGCAATGGACTTCGAAGCGCAAGGCAAGCGACCGCGAGGAGCCCAAAGAAGACTGATAAATTCAGCGGACCTTATGACTGCGAGAGACTAGCGCTAGAGAGATGAAGTAAACTGAACATCACAAGTTGAAAAAAAAACAGAAGAAACCAAGAAATGAGAATGAAGTGGATAGAATCTCGTAACACATACCTTTTTCATGGCATTCATAGAAGACACATCGGAGCTTGAGGGAGAATCAGTCAAGGCGCCTTGGCGTCTTCTTCGGCGACCTACGAGAGCATGCAATATCACTGTCGCCGACCCAACAAGGCCAAGCATAGCAAGTGCCACAACTCTCCTTAATAAGTAAACCCTACAGAAAGAAAAGTGGGACTACTGGAACATTCTACACATACCACCATCCAGAGACCATATTATCGACTCTGAGCGTCCTACTCATGCGCTCAACTAAATTGGCTGGACATTGGTTTGGGTCCAAGAGACCCTCGAAAAATGCTGTTCGCTTCTTCGTCTTCCCAGAAGGGCGTAGCACGAACCATCCCTGGTTGCCTAAAATGGAATCATCCCTGTATGAGATTATTTGATGCTTCGAAGACGTTCTTCGTCCTCCCAAAACCTTAGCTATACAGCCCATTGCCAACTAGTCCTATATAGTGAGATGGTTCTTCATCCTACCCACACAATGTATGGCCATGATATCTACCAGCTCACCAATACGAGAAAAACAAATGCACAACAGTAGCGGCCAAATTAGCCACAATCGATGATGTCAGAAATCAATCTGTACATGAAGTTATCCTTACAAGGGAGCAGTAATGTATAATAGAACAATGAGCATCAGAACGTCTTGAATGGGATACAACAAGCCAATAATGCGAAAAAGGAACTGCTGGGGACACGAAGAAAATCTGATGCGAAACAACAAATAGACGCTCACGTGAACAGAACTAACGGTAGCACGGACTTATGAACCAGCACACATTTCTGTCCTAGAGCACGCGTAGGCTTATTTAAGACCCAATATTGCGTTAGAACATGATGAAAAAGGAAGGCCGAGCTGTTTGCTGTCACAGTAAATTTTCCTTAAGTTGAGAAAATATCTAAAACTGTGTGAAACTTACCGTTTTCTGGATCATCAAATGCCGCACTCCTAATATCCTTTTCTCCAATCAGAGCCGTTCCTTCATTATTGGGACACGACACTGCATAAGTACTTCTTCCTGAGAAATAAATCAAGCAGTATTTGTAAAAACACTGAAACAGTACTACTCAACCATAAAGGAATGAATTTATGGGCAGTAGAAGCGAGGTGCAAATTTATAAATCATAAGGCAATACTGCAACAGCATGAAAGCTAAGACTGTTTATAAAGGCATTATAAGGTTTGATGAGGTGCGGTAACTTAACAGGAGCGAAAACTGTACTAACCTTCTTCTGTTGCAACTACCTGAAGCCCACGTGAATCACGGATAGCAACTTGCTTATTGTTTTTCTTCGCTTGTTGAGCAGTGAATGAGCGCTTATACGACGCCGATAGGAGATCATCTGCCAAATAGTTTTATAAAATACCCTGCCTATGTGCAGCAACAAGAAGCCTTCAAAGTTCCGGGAAGAGAGAAATGACTCAACACTTAATAAACCTACAATTTGAACAGAAAATCACACAAAAAGGCTTGGCGATTTTGCGTTTTTTGGTCACTTAACGCCTACTAGATGTTTGCACGTTTGTTTCCCGTAGGGTACGGTATACTAGGACAGAGAGCGACTTTTTCGTGTTTCGCGCGCGGAACATTTTCGCTGCAGGAACTCCAGGTCCACTCATGATCAGCGATGGACCTGAGGTTCCAAGAGCGAAAATGTTTCGCGCTGCGAAAGCGAAGAAGACATTTTCTGTCCTAGTAAACCACACCCATTCCTGTATACCCAACTGCAAGGAAATACACTTACCTACAGTGCCCTTTTCAATCAAATACGTGGTGCCAGATCGAGTGAGCTGGCCACTCGCTGAAGATGGATTTGGTTCGCTATAATCCATATTTTTCGCAATTCTAATCATTTCTTTCTTAACATGAGTGGAATGCATGATGAATGGTTCATCGCCTACGGTACCTGAAAGAAACGAGATCCAATATCTGAGATGAGATATCCTGATAAAGTTCAATTATAAACAACACATGGTCAGGCTACTTAGGAAAGTGACATTATTCCACTCAAAATAATAAGAAGGAGGCGATTATGCGACAAATTTCCTAGCTAAAAAACTGTAAAAAAAATATTGGAATTTGAAGATGAACCTAGATAAAACAATGACTCCGAACTAGGAGTCGTGCTCGCTGAAGATCCTGGCTGCCCATCAGTTATGGACAACGTGTGAATATTCTCTGTGTTAAAAAGAGAAACCTGAAAGACCTGTCATGTCTATTTATAAATTCAAGCCAAATCTAGCCAGCTAGGAGCTCACCTCACTCAGCTCGCCGCCTTCTAACTTCCAAGTATGCGCTATATGGCTACCGAGTTGGCGAGACCATAATTCGTTACCGCAGTTATCATAGGCCGTGACAATTCCATCCGGCGGCTGCACGAGATAACGAATTCTGAAAAAATCGCAAAGGATTACTTCACAAAGAGGAACGATCTTTCAGCTTACCTAGCACCTCTAGGATAAAGTTCGCCGCGATTCACAGTGACCAGCGTTGCATCGTACTCTGACACAGACAAGTTCCACCTGTAGCATGAATAGATGCATTTTATAAGCAGTTTCTCAGAAAAAAAGGTGCTGTAGCTGGCGTTTTGAAAATTATGTGAAAACTCACCTTTCGTGACCACTTAACGCATCAACAGCACGGACCTTACTAGTACTTCGACGAAAGACAAGGGTGGATGTAACAGGCTCAGTCACAACGGAATCACAATGTGAAGATGAACAGTGGTAACGCACCTGTGAGAAGAACACCCATCTCTTATTCTTCCGCAGAGACTGACAGCAAAATCAATGGAATGAAAAATACCTCTCCTGTCAAAGGATCAACTCCCGTAGTAGATATTGTACGCCCTCCAGCCACTGCATCATGACCGACACGAATCGACGCCTGAAGGAGCATCGTATGATATGGTGATAACTATTGATTATTCAAATACCATATCATGAAAATTGGTGCAAAACTAGAATGGGGGGAGGGGTGGTATGCAGACTTTTGAACACGTTAGGTGCGCACTGCGCGCGACTGTAACGTATAGCTAATCTCTTCACTTTTTTCTCGGCAGAATGGAATTGTCTCCCTTTCACTCAATGGGACCAAACTCGGTAAAGGGGAAGAACTTCGGGAAAAACTGGAAATTCTTTATACTCTGAGCTTCCTCCACCTGAAATATGACCGCACCCTTAGTCCTATCAATTCTCACATTTCTTGGCGTAATTGTGTGTATTGCGCGCTTACGCACTTGAAATCGCTACGCCCCCCCCACGCCCTCCACTCCCCGGTCTAGCTTCGCAGCAACTAAAAGTATACTCCCTTGACCGATTCAGTAAGAACTAATATTCACCAATGAAAAAAATTCGCCATCTCACACACTTTTTATACTGCTCTTATCTAAGGATGAGAAACCTGAAGAAGGAGATCCGTGTTCAGAGGTATTGGCTCCAGAAGGTGATCATCACGTGAATACATGTAGAGCGTACCGTCTAGAGCAGGGATAAGGTTGAACAGGCGCCCATCAACTTTCATTGGCTTAAATTAATCAATCAATTCAGAACTGAATCAATGTGTGCACACTAGCAGAGGTGAAACCGTAAATGCAACATCCAGAGAAAAAAAAACAATTTTCAGAGACAACTAGCTGCCGTTCTGAGATGAACGCCAGCCTTCAGGAAGGAATTTTTGAAAACATGTGAAATGAAAACGGTAAGATCGATTAGCTGCAAGACATCCCTACATTTTGACAGAGTTGAAAAGCTCGTTCAGCGCATTTAGCAAAAGGCAATTTCTGAGTTTCTACGGAAAGCATGAAATAAAATTTGTAAAAAATACTGAATAATTCTGTAAAACTATGTGTAACTGTATCCAAATGATGAAAGTTTCAGACCTGTACTTTGCCAAGCGTTCCACAGAGCAGCGCTTCAGCATCAAAATCAGCCACCCATACTACTCTGCCACCGTTAACAGCATCAAGTGCATGAAGCCGGCCATCCATAGTCGAAACCTGTGAACATTGAACTGAAAACTACTGAGCAGTGTAGTCTAAAAAGCCACATTACGCTCTACACGCAAGGAGGTGTTAGATTCGCTTCCACTTGGTGCTATTCATCACACTTCGAGGGGAAAGCGCGTACTTTTTCAGAGCCCAGTCAAACATGTGTCGCGGATTCTATGCCAAGGCTTACTGCTCCAAAATTTGAACTGCTATAAGATCGAGAGTATCAGAAACAGGGAGCAGGGAAAAGCTTGGGGATAGCCGCACTCGCACCCCCCCCCCACCCCTAACCATGGGATTCTTCGAATTCGTAAAGGCAAAAGAAAATAGGAGTGAAGGGAATCGTATTGGAAGATTTTTTGCAACGCTATGCTCGACCCGCTCCCAAAAAGATCCCCACAGAATCAATGGTTAGCAGATCTGGAGTCACTGTTGTCAGCATATGCTCGTTAAGCTCTTCGAACACGAAATTTGACTACTTGATGAACCAATGAACGGAGATTTTTTTCCAACCTTCATTTTTAAAAAAGACCTTTCTACATGAAAGTTTATAAACAAGCAACAGTGAAGCTAGTTTGGTGAGCTCAGCATGCAGCTTGAGGTGATAGGGATTAGTTTTCTAGTCTCATCCAACAAGGAATTGGAGGGCATGTTTCGATAGTATATACCGCTTACAGTAATCCTCTCTTTCGCACAGAAAGTTCCAAAGTGATTGTACAGGTGAAAGCGATACGGTTCACGCAGCGCGAGGTTTTCCAACTCTTGCAGAAGTTGTGAATTCTGTAAGCGGCAACAACCGTGGCACCATATGCCCCTCCGCCTCACTGGATGAGACCCAGGAATTCTAATACCAAAGTTTGTGTTTCGGCAAGCGTGAGAAATAGCTCCAAGTGAAGATTAGGTACACACAGCAAACTCACATAAAGGTAATTGGCATTCTCTAAGGCGGGATTCCTACAACATGGGGTAGTTTCACTAATTGCATTCTCTGCGGTTAGTGGTACCTGAAAAGAGAACTACACAGCAAAACGAATCACTACCGTACGTTTGCGGATTTCATTCTATTCTAGAGTCAGCGTAATCGGCTGTCCGGGATTAATGCTAATGTGCTAAATTCGACCAGAACGTCTTCGTACCAGGGCACGTTCAGAAAAATCGATGCCGACGAGATCCACTGAAAATTATGCCCATTTGGACAACAATACGATGGCTCTATTGACATGGAAATGTAAAAAGGCACTGTTCCACTACGCGAGCCCCAAACTTTTAACGTAGTCGTAACTTTGTCTATAGGGCCAAGTCTATGATAAGCAGTATGACGTTCATTTTTTTACGCTGGTACCATTTGGCGAGACGATTGTTTTCGCCAAATTCGGTGCAAACTTGTAATTGGGGTTATTTCAAGTCCTGATCCCGAATATGGCATTCACTATCGGAGCTGGTGTCCATTTCATGTTCGTATGCGCTATCTCACTAATTCCATAGCGCCCAAGGATGAGCGTATGAGGTGGGGAACTCATGGGAGAGAAAGCCACCTGCCCTGTGATATCACGCACTTGTGCTGAGTTGAAGAGGTGGGGGGGGGGGGCGCTAGGAGACCACGCGGTTTCGCCGTTTCTCAAGCGCGATGAAACTAAGCCTGAGCTTAGAAAGGAGTGGGTAAGCTGTGACATTATGATATGTGATTGACTTTTGGCACATTTGAGCCTCCTTCCAGGCTCAGGCTCAGTGCCATTGCGTTGACAGGCGCTGCGCCGCCGCGTGCTTCCCCCCCAACTCACTAAGCACCTACTTCTTTTGCCGCCAGTAAACCCGGAGTCCCCCCCCCCAAAGTGACCCTTTGACCCTGTGTCATAAAAAAGAGGGCTCACTAGTGCAGAAAGTAGACAAGAAAGCACAGAAAGTCCCACAAAATTAAAAATTTACATTTTGGGGTTTGTATAGTGGAAAAGTGCCAAAAATTCTGGTAGGAAAGGCAGAATGACGAAAAACGAACAGCAGGGAGGGATGAGATAAAATTTAGTTCGAAGTTGCTAAACAATAATGGACTGAGTAATCTGGAATGTTGGTTTTTTTATAGTTAGCCAACTTGAAAAGGCTTGTCCGTGGAACTGGCCCGCCGTTTTTATTTGACAAATTTCCAGCGTCAAGAGGTCAGTTAACTACACCGCTTTGACCTGACAACTTTTCCATGGACAAATCTTTTATTGAGCGCTGTAAATTTGACTCTTATATTAAAAACTTACTGATTCTAGCTGTTGAGTGTCGATTAATTCCTCTGTGATGAAGCCGTCTTCTTCACTAATGGCAGCAGCTACAACTAAAGCCTTCACGGCTACGATGGCTACGATAAATCCGCCTAGTGAGGTTAGCAGCCGAGGCATCGGCCATGCCACTTTACACCTCACACAACCTAAAATGCGCTCTTCTACGGAATCTTCGGGAAACCTTTCGAGTGATCACCACAGACGTCAAAACTCAGTTGCAATTGCTGTGACCATAAAGGAACAGAGGAGAAAGTATTGAACAAACTAAATATTGCAAAGCATCGTACTGTTGGAAGCGCTGGAATTGATCACGTGTTCAAGGAACACGTGGCTCATCAAAAGCGCTATAGCAGTTCGTCAAATTGCTAAAAAGTGAGACTATCAAAAGAAATGGGAACTTCTGTGGAAGTGCATTCTTCATATAAATGTCACATCGGAAGGAAAGCAATTTGACACCGATAGAACTTAAGAAAAGAAGAGATAACGAGAGAAGAGAACAGATAGAAAGCGGAAAATGACTGGGATTTCCAGAAGCACAGACCTAGTAAAAGGAAGACAACATAAAAACCAGACAGAAAACACACTATGGGGGTTTCGCCGCAGCCGAAATGAAAGCGACCGTACAAGATGAAGCAATGTACAACTTGACTAAAATATATGAGCTGTTACTACACTATCCTTCTGCAATCGCGTACTGCGAGCGTAACCGTATAGTACGCCTAAAATTTATTAGGCCATGCGCTGATGAGTAGCGCTGCTCAGAATTTCCCGAAAAGGTCGCTATTTCATACAGACCCCTCATGCTTCTTCGGCTATAATCAGCATAACCGGAGCAATGTGGCTCGGGGGGGGGCACCTCGCAACATCGCGTCAATCACGGAAACGCTCCGTTTTAGGACTAGGCTTTTGAAGAGAAGATTTTTGGTGCTAACTTAGTTGGGGGGGGGGGCACGCGGCGGCGCGGCAGTCTGCTCGCCTGGCATGTTCGGAAATCCGTGGGCCAGGGGGAGTGTAGGCCAGTCTAGGGGGGTGGGGGGTGGGCAGTCACTTGACATGCGTGAAAAGCTGGAATGTTCGAGTTTACACTGTCTCGTTCGAGAGAGCCCAGGTGAGCAGACTGCCGCGCCGCCGCGTGCCCCCCCCCCCAACTAAGTTAGCACCAGAGGTCTCGGGTGACGGAAGCACTTAGAGTTGGGGGGGGGGCCACGCGGCGGCGCGGCAGTCTGCTCGCCTGGCATGTTCGGAAATCCGTGGGCCAGGGGGAGTGTAGCCAGTCTAGGGGGGTGGGGGGTGGGGCAGTCACTTGACATGCGTGAAAAGCTGGAATGTTCGAGTTTACACTGTCTCGCTCGAGAGAGCCCAGGTGAGCAGACTGCCGCGCCGCCGCGTGCCCCCCCCAACTAAGTTAGCACCGGAGGAACTCGGTGTACGGAAGCAATTTTCGTATTCTCCGGAGTTCGTCCCTGCTGTTTAGGCTTAGTCCTAGATGGCTTTTCATAGAGTGGTCCCCCCCCCCGAGCCACATTGCGCCGCATAACCCACTATAGTACTGAGTTCAGTCAGTTACCTGTGGTGGATTCTAGCTGCTATTGCAAGTGCATATATAAAGCCTCACGTAATGCGTGTGCAGGGCGTAAACTATGAAAATTTGTTCGACCTTCAAAAGTGATGACCTACCTGGATCCGAACCCATGAGTTGTTCTGCTCATAAGCCTATATTCTGAACCGTTAACGTTCGCATTCGCCGTTTCGTTGAATTTTTGATGAGCTTCGCAGAAATTGAAAAGAAGGATTCGTTGTCTAGGGAGCGAGTATGCCTAACTGTTTGCATCTAATTAGGCGATTAGATTTAATTACCCGGGAGTTCACTTGGTGCTCCGCAAACCTTTTTGCCATGCATTTAACCTTCACTCAGAGTTGCATATATGGGCCATAAGTGTGCAGTCACTGGAAGAGTTCAGCTTTGATTTATCATCATCCAATAGAAATATTCAGTGGGTGGAGTGAAGAATTGACTGAGTTTGGCGAGATCCGATACACGCTCTGGTCGTTGGATCATGCTTGGTAGCGGCGCCACTTGCAACCGACCTATACTCACCATATGGCACGCTCAAATGTCACTACAATTCCGCACGGAAGTTGAGTGCGTGGCTTACCGTATATTTCAGCGCCAATTGCCTATTACCAATTAGAAATTTCCAGCCGGCTTTAAAACATTATTACCTTCTGTTTCAGCGATATCATGGGTTTTTCGAAAGTCGGAAGACGATAGAAATGCATGTTTTTATTGATGAAAGTAAGCGTTTGAATTCGTTTAGTCCAATGCAATGGTTGTTCCAGTTGAAGCCGTGGTGGCTGCAGTTGAAGCCGTGGTGGCTGCAGTTGAAGCTGTTGTCCCATCCAGGCAGCGAACATTGGTAAAGCTAACGGAAAGTCCATCAGTGTTCTGGGCCCGCCACCTGAAAAATTCCACTTTAGGTTAATCACTATTATCTTGAGGACCAGCAACTTACATTCCATGCCTGCATTGGGCAATCTTGTTAGCGCTGTTTCCGGAACTGTGAGTGGCAGCACCTTCGTGTGTGGTGATGTTGTTGTTAGTCTTGTTAGTGTTGCCATTCGTTGTGTTAGTCTTGCCATTCGTTGGGCACTCAATGTATGCGTGCATTCTGCCATTCTCTTTGAAATATCTGGCAACAGTGGAGATTCAAAAAATATTGCGTGACATATACAGTTATCAAGAATAAGGTACAGTGTTGCTACATGGTTGAGGCGGAGCGTAACGGCCACATACCCATGCTCCTTTGGCCTAGACTCAGCTATCACCTGAGGACTATTAGGGAGCGTCACGACCCATCATCCCCGCAACAAAGTGCTCAATCGATTAGGTCGCATTTATACTTTGCGCCGGAAGGAACGTGCAGTCACTGCGGGCGCTACGGTGAGTACTATCACTGTAGGGAGTGAGAAGGGGGTATACAAGATGATGGCGCATGGTGCGCATTTAGCACTCAGTTGATCCCCTTGTGCAAACGCACATTTGCACATTGAAGAGGCACCAATTGCCT